TTTGCCCTCAATCAAATCAAGACAAAGCTCCAAAGGAGACTGGTGTTATCGGTGGGTACTGTAAATGCATAAGTGCAGACTTGCTCACTCACTCACTCACTCACTCACTCTTGCTCCAGGCGTCTGATAGCTGGAATCTGTGAGCAACAGAAAACAAGCTGCAAGTAACAGCTGCGAATTGTGCAGGGACAACCATTACTCTCCTCAGCATCTTCCTCTGATCGAGTCCTGATATGTGGCCTCCTCTTCATCCTCGCTCCGCACCCATCATCACCATCATCACCACCTCTCCTCATGATTTCTCATCAGCATTCTTAACATCCTCTGCCTCATCCTCGCCGTCACATCACGAGCACGACCACCATCACCGTCGATGTCCAGGCATGCTCGGAGCTCAGCAATCCATGACCCACCCTACTTTCCACTTTACAACAGCGCTTTCAGGAAACCACCCATGTAGTAATTAGATGCTGAGGAGGAATTTTCCGAACCGCTTCGTATGTTCAACTGACTGGATGGCAGCATGGCGGCATGAAACTTCTACTTCAGGATGTGAGCAAGCATGGCTTCAGAAGTCAGGTCATGACAGGAATCAAAGCAGTTTCGAACTCCCCCCGGCCGGGACAAATCTCACAGCCAAGTGACCATGGAGCTGGTATGCCTCACAACAACACTCCCATGTTGGGTGCGCGTTTCTCAGATGCGTCTTCTGCAGCCCTCGAGCTACTTAGAGCTCGTCTTCCTGCATCAGTCATGGTTGCCTGACCTCTCGAACTCCCTGAGACACCCATCAGGGCAACCCGTCGTCCAGTGCCATGCAGGGCTTTAAACTCCTGTAAGCTCGGCGGCAGATTCATGAGCCAAGCAGCACCATCTTCTGCACGGCATCGAATGGTGTCTGGACTTCACCCACCTCCTCTTGCAAGGGGCCTTCACAGGAGCTAGCACTGGAACAGTGTTGATACCAATCACTTCTCATGCAGCCTTGTCTTTGCAGTCTATAGTGGTCACAAGACAAAGGTGGTCAAGCCAGCAGTGCTGGAATGGCAGAATGCTTGGGTCTAGGCAGAAGAGACACAACAACCTTCACGCTGTCCTGCAAGCACCGTCTTGGCCCAGGCACATGCCACTTCCGCCGTCATCGAGCTGGTGGGGTCCGGGTGGTCCGTGCCGGTGGCGACTTCTGTGTCTGCAACCGCCTTGAGTTCTACTTGGTCACTGGGGGTCGAGGCCGCTAGTTCTGTCGGCATGCTCGAACTCAAGCTGATCACTCGTGTCTTCTGCCATGACCCACAAGAACGAGTGAGATGCAGACTTGTTGTGCCAGCTTTCGGCTCAGCAGTTTGCACAAAGCTGATTCACCGAAAACTTCGAAAGTGTCCCTGGCAGTTCAACCAGAATTCAGGAGCTCGGTGGCGCGACTTGCTGTCATCCGAAATGACGTGGTGATGTGGAGGTGGTCGTGGTGGCGGTTGCGTTAGCAAGGCTGCATACAACCATAATTTCGGGCATTTTTGCGTTGGATGTTCGGCGTATGCAAGGGTGCAAGGGCAACCTCCAGTCCGGTGGCAAGAGAAGCCAACAGCAGGACGTGCGTCTTCTATGCAATCTAAAGGGTTTCTTTACTACAATAACACCATCATCAGCGTCAGCATCGTAGTCATTATCATCTTCATCTCGTTCTTCTTATTCTTACTGTTCGTCTTCTTCATGTCATCGTCATCACCGGCACAGCAATTTTCATGTTATTCTGATCTTCTTCATTTCATGGTCATCATCCGGAAACCATGACGCAGAGCCAAGAAACACAGATGCCCCCGCCGCAAGAAGGCTGCAAAATCTCAGAAAAGAATGAAGCCGCCCTCATGCCGCCATGAGTCGTGGGCGTCATTACCCTCCACCCCTCCACGCACCTCTGCCCCCTGAAGCACCTGAAAAACACTCACTACATACCAGCACATAATTAACCGGCATTGCCATGGGGTTATCACCCCGCCCATCCCCCACCTGCACGGAGGCAAAAGAACGATATGGAATAATCGGTCGTTGCTGTCACGCAGGAACATTGCGAAACCGATACGCAAGCCACATGACAGACACAAGTGCATCCGAATTCCAAGCAAAACGGAACAGAGCAAGTACGAATCACTGTAAATGCCGATGCAAAAGGCATGAGCACGTGGAACACAACGCAAGCTTGTTAACCAAACACCAGCAACACAGCAAATACAAAGGATGCTAATGCCACTTCAAAAAGAATCGTCTAACATGCATTGTGCCGACAGTCGAGTTTTGGCACATCGCAGGCCGGAAATCGACACACCCTTCGCGGCGGCAAACGACCCCCCCCCCCCCCGCAGCAACAGTAACAGCAGCAGCAAAGGCAACAGCAACAGCAACAACAAGAGACACCATCACCACCACCACCACCACCACAACCCCCCAGCCCCAGCCCCTGCCCCAGCCAGCGCCAGCACCACCCCAGCAGCAGCAGCAGCAGCAACCATAAAGACGACGAAAACGTGATGCCGTATTTGCGTCCTGTCCGCAGCAAATCCGTCTGTTGTCTCTTCCGCACGTCGCTGACTGTCGGAACTTTGCACAGCTGAGGAAACGTGAACAGCCCTAATCTGAGGCAAGGCACGCAGCTGTTCACTGCAGCTCCCGGACGGCCCGGCTGCACGGAAGGGACCTGCAGTCGGACAGCTGAGGAGCTTGGGATGAAGCCGGCTTAAAACATTTGTCCCAACACGGGGTCGTGCAAACCCGCACAGCGTGGCTCAGGAGAGTTTTCTACGAGCACGACTGTGTGGCAGGTGAAGTTCGCCCTGCAGTGCATCCTTCAGCGTAAGACCATGAATGTCAAAATCTGACTGCGACTAAGACTATCTAACGGCAGCTCGCTTGGCCCTTGCTCAGATTAGCAATCCGCCTGCGGAACCTGTGCATTTCTGCAGCTCCTGCTTTTGAGGTTCAGTGCCAGTGGTGACCCCGAATATCACACAGTCGCTACCTCAACTTGGAAGCCCAGCTGCGATGCACAATCTGGATGCTATGCAGCCATTGTAGGTTCTATAGATACAACACAATTTCGGGGGATTTGTCCAGCTGGGGCCAGGAAGAGGAGGAGCAGGAAGAGGAGGTAGAGGCATGTGACCCAAGCTGCCGGACTACATACTCAAACTGATGAAGACACCATGGCCCCAGATGCTTGCTCCACACTGCCCATGACAGCGAGCAGCCCTTTCCGACCTCCTCCGTGGCAGCACTCAAATTCGGTAGGCTCACCAACCTTGGATTGCCCGCGGCGCCAAAGACTAGCGTGAACTTATTAACAACCTTCCTGAACTTTGCGGCCTTGTTCTAGACATGCCTGTTCATGCTGAAAAGTTCGCGACAAACGAGTGCCAAGCTCGACCCGACCCGCAGCCCTCAGCCGCCAAACGAAGGGCCCCCAACAAGGCCTGTCATTGCTGATGCTGCTGTCGGTGGTTGTGAATGGCTATTCTTGGGCTTGGGCGTGATGACAGGGATGAGGTGATGATGCCGATTACGCTAGCTGCTACTGATGATGAGGATGACGATGATGGACGATGACTTGACGACGGTAATGATGATTCTGAAAATGATGGCGGCGTGGTTTCGCTTCGTCACAGCCGCTGTTTCTCTCGCCACTATACTGTGCTGCTGGTGCCGGTGCCGGTGCTGGCAGCAGCGGCGATGGCGGCTCCCAATTTGTCCTTCAAGCAGCAAGTCCGCCACCAGTGCCAAGGATTCCTGGTGCTGCCTGTGCAGGACCTGGCAGGGAATCTCAAAAGTTCAGAGCTTTTCCTTTCATCTCATCCTCGGTGCAAACCCGACAAAACAAAGCCAAGTCCGCCGAGGCCGGAGGCCGGGGCGGCCGGGGCGGCCCGGGCGTCTAGGCTCTCGGTCAGCCTAACGTGTAATTACAGGCAATTGACATGTATACTTTCTACCTACCGCATTTGGGATCTGGTTCTAGGATGTTCTAGGCAAAGGGCAAGGGAGCTACCAAAATGCTGCCCCTCAAGTCGGCCTCCAGGCTTCTTTCCAGCTTCTCGAGGCTGATCTTCTGGTCGTCGGAGTCGTCTCTGGGCGGTCTGTGCCTTCGAGCCTCGGCGCGATCTCGGACGTCAGAGCTGTCGGAGGAGAAACGCCATGCAAGTAATGAAAGTGAAGGCTGGAGATGAAAAGGCCGAGGGACCTATACAGAGTTCCTGCAAGAGGTTTTCGCAGTTTCAGCACGCACCTGTTAAATCAGCAGCGAGTAAAGCCGAAAGACCCTGCATGCTTGAGTCTGCTTGAGGCCAGCTGTCCTTAAGATTCTGTGACAAGTTGCTGTTACAAGGCTTCTGGGCAGAAGCAACACTCCTCTGCTGAAAACCTGCGGGGGCGGGGGGGTCTGCGCTACGACCTGCAACACCGTGTTGAACCACATAACAGAACGAAGGACTACAGATTTCATAATTTTTGCCACGGCACTACGGCATGGTACTGGGAGATCTTGAAACCTTCGCCATCCTGCATCGCGTCGGCTTGAGGTTACCAGGCTGAGAGGACGGCATGGGCCCTGGCTGCCCTAGCCTTCTCCGAGAGCATGCTCGCCGCAAACCTTGGCTTGCTTGCAGCAGTTATCACCAGTGATGCTCTTCTTTAGCTGCGCTGTCATTCAGCGAAGAACCAGTCAGTGTTCTGCTCCTGGAGCGAGGGCGATGGCATACTGGCAAAGCGTGGCTGAGCAAATTCACAGCAGGACGGCGGACAGTGACATGACGGTGGTTGGGGCTATACCTGTCTCAAGATGCGTAGCAATAAGTGTTGATGTTGTCTTGCGTGACAATCTTGAACCAAGATGTCCCCGCCACAGGCAAGCTCGGCATGTAGCAACGGCATCACATCAAGCAGCGTGGCAGATCCGAAGGCTCGCCCGTGTTTGAGTCAAAGCTGCCCGATGTGGAAACACAGTCCGGGTCCCATGCTTCGCTTTGGACTCGCCAGTGGGAGCCTTGGATGTGCTGTTGCATTCTATGGGACTCTTGCCCGTAAGCCAAGCCGCCGCAGTAAGTTCAACTTCGTCATTGCTTTGCGGAGAAAACAGGGTGCGACTGAAGAATACTCTGTGGCGACGCTGCGCTGCTCTACTCCTCGATGAAGGGTGTGTCCGCTTCTTCATCATTCCTCGAAGTCTTTGCTGCTTTATCCGTGATGCAGGATGTTTGGCAGGATGCACCTACACCAGGTTTATCAGCGGGTGGATGCTTACTGGGTGAAAAAAGCATGTTTGGTCTCAATGTCTGACTCCAACTCATTTGGATGCTCAGCAAGCTGAGCGAGCGATGAACCCTCAAGAACTCCGATACTTTCTCTGCTCATATATGCACACCACTAGCTCGTGTTGCGACGCCAAGCACAAAGTCCCCCCTCTCTCCCTCTCTGAACCAGTCTCTTTCAGGGGCAACGTGTCCTGCCGCCATGGCAGAACATATCTGTGAATTGAGAAGGAACCCTTGTAGCTTCCCCCTGCAAACCCCTTGAACGCTTAAGGTTTCCCAGTGTTTGTCTCTTCGTCTGGGATCCCCTGCCGGCTCGTCAGCAGCATCCGACATTAATTGGGTGGAGTCTGATGCTCCTGTGGCCAAGTTGTGAGCTGCCTGGCTGCAAGGCTGTGCCAGAAACACGGCAAGATTTTAAAGAGATGAGCACAAAACCTGGCGCACGGGATCTTCCAATCTAGCCATTCTAAGCAACAACCCGCAGAGAAACCAACCAGAGCAGAGCAAACTTGCCACGAGCACTGGGGCCGCAAAGTCTGTCCGGCGGTAGTCGTTGACCAGGGTTGCCCAAGGACGAGATTTACACAATTAACAAACACTCTTTTCTTCTCGGATCTTTGTGAAGGCAACTCACTGGACAGAAGCTTGATTTTTCGCAACGGCTGCCAGTTCTTAAGTCTTACTTAAGCCTTTTTTGATCGTCTGTGTGAATGCCAAAGCACGCGCGAGAGGTACCAAGGGACTTGTGTCTTATTCAATCTAGACGTCTGTGTTGTGCGGCAAGACGGTACTGGCGGCAGTGGCAGTGATAGTGGTGGTAGTAGGCATTGTCGTCCGTGAACCCCAGCCCGCAGTGCCTGCACTGCGGCTTTTGAAATTGATAGCTGCGACGGCGAAGCATCGCTCCGGCCCTTCGTCTCCTGGCAAACTGAGCGACTGTTGCTTGCCGTGCTACTGACTGTACTGCTTGGACCCTCGGCAACACAAGAGAATTGCACAAGCTCACAGCAGGCCATTGGGCCACACTGCCTCTTCTGCTGAACTACTACAGGACCCTATCTGTCGCAGCAACACCTGACTTATTCAGGACCCTGAGGGCTGATGGAACACCTAGATTCTGGATGACTCTAAAGGCTCCCCTTCGGTGTCACCTCGTGGGTCTTGACGTCAGGTGAGGACGCGACGCGCACCGGAATCTCTGCTGCCTGATAGGAGACTGCATGCAACTGTTCCAGCTGTGAACGCACGATCCTGTAGGTATGCACTCGGGACATCCGTTGGTCCATCCACCTGTCTGCCCATCCAGCTTTTGACCTATCTAACCATCGCAGGAATGTCGCGCTTGCACAAATTGGCTCACATACATGTAAGCAGCAATACATGCCTACATGACTGTATAGCATGTACGCACATACACACGCACACAAACACATGCACTGTCATCTAAGCTTGCATATACACATCGACGTACATGTATGTACATATATGTACACATACTGGTATACATGTCCATGTACATATGCATACATGCACGCACGTGGGCATGCATGCAGACATACATACATATATACATACATACATACATACATACATAATACATACGTGCATGCATGCATGCATGCATGGATACATGCGTACATGTGTACATACATATGCAAGCAGGCAGACATGCACTATATACATTCATACACTCATAATTACATCCCTGCCTTCCTACCTACCTACCTAGACCGACCTAGATGCTGCCTCTCTGCCTACATGCCTACCTATACCGACCGACCTACCTCGCTCGCTCGCTCTGGCTGCCTGCTGGCTTCCTACCGACCTCTCCCTCGCTCCCTCCTGCCTTTGTTAAGTCCAACTTTATTTGTTTCCACGGCCTCGAGCAATTGGTAGTCCCAGCTGCTCACGTTGACTTGTTTGTTTCTGTCGCTCCCTCTCTTACGCCCTGCCTTTGCCTCCTGCCTCTATAGGGCAAAGCCCGATCCACCCCTGTGTGAAACACTAGAAAGTGTGGTGTGGCATAATGCTGGGTTCCTCCGTGTTTAGACCCCGAACTCCCTCTCGCTCTGCCTGGATCTGAACATCGCAAGCAAGAGGGCCAGATTCCTGCTTCTGGACTGATACAATGCCTGTTCGGACAGTGTTAACCCTTCAAGAGCGGTCGCCGACAGTAGCTCAGAAGCTGCTCTGCACTGGGTCTCCCAGCAGCTACGCCCCCTGAGTCTTGGCGCTTCAGCCGTGGCCTCAGGCAACACCCACAAACCTGGACTTCAGGCTCAGGGTGGCAGACTGTGACTTCCAGAACACTGCGCTTCGGAATCGGTGCCGAGCCCGCCAGCTCCCCCTCCGCAGTGGCAGGAACAACCTGGTCCGGGAAGTCACAGAGTCACAGGCTCTCTCTGGCCATCGAACTCGCTGAACTGAAAGCTCGAACATCCACTACGAGAGAAGAGTGGTTGCCCAGCAGGCCGAACTTGACGGGAATTCAACGAGCCGATACGAGGTCAGAATAGGTTGAGCAACGAATCGAACTTTGCCGCCGGAAAGCCGAACTGCGCATTTGCGCCCGCTGGCCTGCCTTCAATCGTTCCCATTGCCGCAGGGCTGCTGACTGATAGCGAGCCTTCTGAATTACCCTGTCAATGGTTCGTACAACCACGGACCACGCAGAATGAAATCCAGCCGTCAAAGCCGATAGGTTTCCCTGAGACGGTTGCAGACTGCCTGTACCTGCAGGGTCCTGGAGTGGGGGGGTGGGGTGAGTGAGGGCTGGAAGCGAATCTTGAGCCAAATGTCTGAATCAAACTTCTTGCGAGCGATAGCTGGAGAGTGGAGCCATGGACGTCGCATCCATAGTCTAGTTTTTTTGTAAATGCTTGGACGGATGCCCAGGTCGCTTCATGGTATTAACGTCCCTGATTGGTAACTCATAGAAACATGCAAAAAGAATAGGCTTCCGTGATGCCGCGGGATGTGCAGCCGGTTTGTCCGAGCCAAGTAGGCTTCGCACACTCATGCATTGATCGTCCTGCTGAGAGAGCCGGTGGTAATCTCAACCACTAGGGGCGGCATCCTGAAACACACCGTCAAACATCTCTCATGAAGCCTTTAAATGTCAGGAGTTAACAGTGAAACGCCCATGCTCAGCACGGAATCCCCTACCCCGGGTCAATGGGAAGGAAGCCTTACTTGAGGCGTAGCAATGCGTGCGCCAGAGCCTGGCGTAAGAGCGGAGCTCCCGCTTGAAGCGCTGCCAGGTCCCCACGGAGGGCCTCGGGGCGCAAAGCCTGGACGTCCTGGCCCAGGGGGCAGCTCTGACGACAGATATCGGCGATCGGATCAACTCTGGCCTCGATCCAGATTTCAAAGTTCTTCTCGGACATCAACACCCGAGGGAGCTCCTCAAAAGGCGATCTGGTACGCGTACCAAGCAAGTGCAAGGTCGGGTCATCAAGTCCTTACATGAAGCCGTGCTGAGGCAGGGTACTAGTATGAGGCCAAGGATTCCCGCCGGTCCAATTGCACCCACCGCGAAGTTTGATAATTAGACGACATGACATGTTCAGGCATGTGCATACTTTTCGAGAGCCTGTCGGGGAGAAGCCGACATTTGGGGCTCTAACTTCAAACCTTTGACAGTCTCCGCTTTTCGCTGGCGTGGTCTCGCATGTATCTGTTTGACCTTAAGACCCGCAAATATCCTTCGATGCCCAGCATGCTACAGGCTTGCGGGATCATGCTTTATGCAGACCTTGAACGTATTCGTCTTAACTTTTGTGACCGCGCACCGTCGAGTCGGATTCTCAAAGCTTTGGATCCTCATCCGTGCGGGCTAAATGGGGCAGGCGCATCTCACCTAGTCTGGCAGCCAGGGCTTGGGGAATGGAGGTTGGAGATCGGCAGCAGCTCACTACTCACTCCGGGGGACGGCCTGCAGGCACACATGGCCAGTACGACAAACTCCCCTGTCCCGTTGGGAACTTGCGTGTCTCTCCCGTGCACAACTTTCCTCTGCAGAACAACGAACATCAGACAACACACTCTGTCATACAGCAACAGGAAGCGACCCAGCCAGACAAGCTGTTTCATGGGTCGAACTTTCGATTCGCTTCGGTGCATTTTTCTGGCGCAAGCGAGTCGCAGCTGCCTGCAGGCTTCCAGTCTTGAGCCTGTAGAAAATAGAATTTAGCATCCTCTGTTGAGGGCTGCAAGAGAGCCAGTATGCAGCGTGCGTCGGCGAGATGTTGGCAAGGTTCATATGTGCTTGAGCACTGCGTGCCTCAAAGAGTTGATAAAAGCAGGAGTCTCTCTGAGGAGCAACGGTTAAAAGGACTGGCTTGGCAGCAAGATCGCGTGCATTGCGCAAAAAGTCACATCGCCAAATTCCTTTGCATGTCACACTGTATCCCACTCGGTGTGCTGGTCCTATCATCGTGCTCAACCTGCTTGCCAAACTTGTCATTCGCAGCACTCTGAAATGCTGAGCTGCGGATCTGCGACCTCTGAATCACACTACATTGCACTTAGTTGTGTTCGTTTTTTACTTATCGGAAGGCCCGGATTCAACTGCTCTGATATACGATCGGCTGAGATCGCTGGAAGCCAGCAGCGCTGATTTGTGAAATCCGTGCAAGCATAGCTGCATGATTGATTGCGTCATCTCGCCCACCCTCCAACCGGACCTGTCCAAAAGTGTAACCAAA